AGCATTTCAATATTACACAATTTATTTACTCTGTCTACTAGTTATGGACTGTAAAATTGCCTTGGGTATGTTTTTTTGGCTTTTTTATTTCCATAGTGAATTCAAATTAAAACAACTTACTTTGTTCAAGAGTAGTCAGCTACCTGGGAGTTTGGAGATGCTGTATATTTGTGTTTATGGATAGTTGATTTCACCTAGTTTCTTTTAGCCAAGGAATACGTGAAGCCTTATGTAAGGCCAGTGATGCAGGAGCTCCTGCACATCGTCAGAGAGACAGAAAACGATGATCTCACGAATGTAATCCAGAAGATGATCTATGAGTACAGCCAGGAAGTCGCTACTATTGCTGTGGACATGACTCAACACCTGGTAAGAGGAATAGTAAAATACCAGTCCAGTCAGAAGCACGTGTGTAGTTCGGTAAACATTTAATGAGCTCTGCTTGAAGTGCACACTGTTTAAAGTAATCGTGATGAGAGTCCACCTGTAGTATTTGCAGTATTTATGTTTTTTTTCTGTATGAAGCAACTTTAAAACCTATAGATTTTTCAAAGATACTGATTTGTGTCACTGATTTTAATGAGCTGAGCTATAACTATTTAGCATTTCAAATGACTTACTGTAGAATTCTAAAAAAAAAAGAGGGGATTTTAATTTGCTATGTTTGCCTTTCAAAAGTAGCAAGCATATTTTTCAGTGCTGACAGCTCTTACAGATAAGGCATTGCTGCTGCTGCATTAACTGCCTTGGTTTTGAATGACAAATTAGAAACATGAGTTTGCTCTTGAATGTGATGTTGGTTGGTTTTGTTCACAGGCTGAAATATTTGGTAAAGTACTTCAGAGTGAGGAATATGAGGAAGTAGAGGACAAAACAGTCATGGCCATGGGCATCTTGCACACAATTGACACAATCCTGACAGTTGTAGAAGATCACAAGGAGGTGAGATTTTCCTTTGTACTTTCCTCCCTTCGTTCATGACGACAAGCACTTCTGCGTGTGTTACATCACTTGGCATGAACATGCATTTACTGCAGCAGGATGGTACCAAGCTGTCTCAGACAGATTTGAATCTAAAAGCCAGTTTACTTTTGTGGTTTATTAATTGTTTAACTTTCAACTTCAAGGGAATTTATGTCCCAAGAGTAAAATTGTTAGCCCTTACTTGGTAAACACTTCATTAGAATGTGCTGGTTTTGGTTGGGGTAGAGTTAATTTTCTTCACAGTGGCTAGTTGTATTACAGAATGTTAAAGTAGAATTAAAGAAGAAATATTTTGCATAAGGCTAGTTTTTTACAGTGATGACCCATATCTCTAGTTTACCCAGCAATTTCTAGGATAGAATTCCAATTCTATTGGGAATTGGTCTCCCAGTTGTGGTGCAATGTATGTCCACATATCACATGTTCAGAGTAAAGAGGCTCTTTCTGCATCAGGGAGACTTTATTTCATAATACTGTGATTGTAAATGTAGCATTTAAAGAATGATAAAAGCCTTTTTGATTTGAAGAACTTCTCAAACTGAATTAGTCAATATATTTATTTGATTGCTGTATTTCTAATTTTTTTAAATAAACTGCTTTATATTTTTATTTCAGATCACTCAACAGCTTGAGAGCATTTGTTTACAGATCATTGGCCTTGTTTTGCAGAAACACGTTATAGGTATGTTTTAGAGATCTGTAAAAAACATGTAAATTAATTATTGTTATCTTCCAGACCAGAATTTAATCTTTTTGTGTGTGTTTCTTTAAAGAAAAAAAGTTATTACTTTACCACTGTAATTTGTTTCTCCTGATCTACTCTTGCACATTAGTCAGATTGGCTATTGTGTTTTGGAGGTTAAAAGCTGAAGATGCTGTTCTGATTATAATTCTGGCTAATTGTGGTAAAGGACAATGTCTACAATTACTTTAGTCTCTTATGGACATCATCTGCAATTAAATTACTGCTTTATCAGTATGCTGCAGTAAAAGTTACGGGTTTGTGATAAGACATTGCAGAAAAAAACAAAGGCTGAGAAAAAAAATACATTTTTCAGTAAATTGATTAGAAGCATTGTCTTTAATGTTCTGCTGATGTATTTTTTTGTGTTTTTTTGGTATTTATAGTGGGAAACTGTGCATATTGTAACTGTAGCCAACAAAAGGCCTATCTGAAAGAGTCTTTTACAATTTGTTTTATTTTTCTATGTATGATTTAGTTTCTAACTGCTGTCTTCTAGTTGTTACGTGACTCAGGACTTGGTTTAACATTTCAAGGTATTTACAAGTTAAATTTATTTTGTAAAGCATCCTGCTTCAAATTGTTTGTCTTTTGCAGAATTTTATGAAGAAATTCTGTCCTTAGCCTTCAGCTTAACATGCCAGATGATTTCACCTCAGATGTGGCAGCTTTTAGGTGTTCTGTATGAGGTTTTCCAGCAGGATTGCTTTGAATACTTTGCAGGTAAAGTCACTTCTGTTCTAGTGATGTTTTTACTGTTTGAGAATTTTTCTCTAGAACCCACCCTGGTAAGGGTCGCTTCCATTAGTGTCTTGGTTTAAAATGATCATGTATTTGAGTCATGGCCTGACCGTCTGTTTAGTGTGGGAGTGTAACAGGAGATATTTAAGTAGGAGAAGCATGTTCAAATCTGTCAGTGTGATCAGTTGTTGTAGGGGTCCTGAACTCAAAGAAAGTTGAATATTCAAAGTTAGTGTGAAACTACAAATTAATTAATTAAAATGTAGTACTATTCTAGTTCCAAGAATGCAGCCTGCATAGTGCATTTTATGAAGAATTCTTCCAGAAAAGACTTTGGCAAAGTTTGAATTTCCAACCATATTCAAGAATCTAAGCTAATGAATTCTCCTTTAAGACTACCTCTCTGGTTATCTCTTTTTGTAACATTTTTCTCTTTTGCTCTCCCTGTTCTGCAGATATGATGCCTCTCTTGCATAATTATGTGACCATTGACACTGATACTTTACTGTCTAACCCAAAGCATTTAGAAATCATTTACTCTATGTGTAAAAAGGTAAGGCTTCTGATTCTTATTGTTGTGCTTATCGCTGGTACATAACAATCAGAGGAGCTGAGTGACCTGAACCTGCCATGTGGTGGCCAAGCATTTCAGAACTAAGTGAATTTTGGTCTTGAATCAGTTCTGAGCACACGCAACACCTTCACACTTTTTAAGTGACATGCTTTAAAAAAATTACATGCAAAAATCTGTGTGGGAGAAAGTTGCTGTTCATCTTGACTCTTCTATGAAGAGCTATTTTGGTAGGTAGGGAATTAATGAAGCCTGATTTCCTTGGGTTGTGTATCTTGCAGTTGGACTCTGGTTGTCAGCTAAGGTGCGAACTCATTTGAAGTTCTTCCTACATTTATCTTCTTTCTCTTTTATGCTGAGTCTCTCATGTATAATAAAGCATGAGATCATGCTGCAGTCCTCCTCTGATTTGGGGCATTAGACTGTGTTAGGCATCTAGCTACTTGCTTATTTTTAAGAAACATAGAGTATTTGAATGTGAAAATTTTTCTTCTTTTGTCTTGTCCTTGTTCTTTTGATTGACAGTGACCATGAAGTTGAGATGAAGTGCTCAGTTTCATATGTATGTGCCTACACACAGAATGATTGCATACACCTTGTTCTTAATCAGAAACTAGCCTAGACATAGCACTTTGCTTTGCCAGGCTGTTAATCTGCTGTAAATCTATTAGAATTGAAATGAAAAAATGGAAACACAATGTGGAAAGCATCAGTGATTCTTATAAGTGACATTTCTTTCTAAAAAAGGGAAAGTGAGGATGTATAAAGAATGTAGCATTCTTTAAGAACTACAGCAATTTTTTCTTGTTAGAAGAAGATAATAAACGCCTTTAGCCATTTATCCTTGTTTATATCTGTAGAGATGAATTATGTGTCTTAATTCATCACAAAATTTAGCATGAATACATATGCATATGCTGTGTAGAGATTTTTGGATGAATGCAGGTACAGGAGCACTTGCTTTCAGTGTTGTCAGTGACTACTGACGTAGTGGTTTTGGTTTGCTAATTTGAGTTTCCTGGCCAACACACCAATTACGTAGTGGGTTTAGTGCTGGCCAAATGCTTATGCACCCACTAGAAATTATTTATTCATTTCTTGCTGTGAGATACAGATCAGGAAGAGGAGGGCAAAGCAGGCTCAAAACTTTAAAAGGTATAAAGAAAAAAACTTTCTTAACTGAATTAAAAGAAAAAATGTTATGAAAAATCAGAATAAGCTTTCAGAATACTTTTCCTCCCCCCACACCTTCTTTTCTTTCCTTCTGACAACGTAAGGAAACAAAACCTGGAACTTTCAGTCAGTTTATCACGTCTTTCTTCAGTCTACTTAGGGAGAGGAGTTTCTCTTGCCATGCCATGGAGACTTCTCTACAAGAAACAGGTCTCTGGTGGCTTCAATGTCACAGCGAATCAGCCGCCTTGGAGATAGAAATCTGTTTGCCGTGTGAAAGTCCCTTCCAATGCTTTGCAGCTTTCTCACAGTTGATTTTATGGGCCATGTCAACTTATTGGGGTGCTATTTTAAGGATGAGCTGTTCTAGTATAAAAGGAAATTTTTTCTCATCTATTTCTGGGAACAGAGGTTTCTTTCTTTTATTCCTGGGGCAAGGTTTCTCATCTCTTTTGTCTCTCTCTGTTCAAGATTTCATTGGATCACAGCTGCTGCAACATCTGCTTACTTCAACACTGGTGCCTCTATTCACGGCTGTGGCTAGAATGCTCTGTCCCTCCAATTTATTCCATGAATTACAGGGAAAAACAAAGTCTGATGTACCAAAAAATATTTCTTCACCATAGCTTCACAAAAGAATTTCAGCCTAAGACTAAGGCATCTCCTCAATCCCCTCTTGACTAGAATTTGACTCCACCTTTACTGACCTCAGTGACCCATGTTGTTTTTCTCTACATGTCTTCACCCTTTCCTTTTCCTGATTCGGGAAAGAATTGGTGTTTATAGGTCTGTTTGTTCTCGAGCTTTATTAATTGAAACAGTTTTTATAAAAGAGTTCTGCAGTGTTGAAAGGTTGATCTCATCTAGGCTCTGCGATTGAGGAATCTCTGTGTCTCTTGCTGCTGATCACGTGGTTCACGCTGGCACTTTGCGAGTCACTCTGTGCCACCCCTGCGCCTTTCCTTCATGCAGGGCCTGGAAAAAGAAAAAAACTGCTACTACTGCTTTTGTCTTTTTGTCTGCAGTGTAGCTGGCTAAAAGTGGCTAAGCAAACAAGGTCCTTTAGGAGTCATGCCAAGATGGCCCCGGCCATGCTGATTTTTAGCTGAGCAGTGCCAACCACATGGCCGCTCCCAGACCGGACTGATGACGGCCAATCCTGGCCACAGCCACTTCTGGCCTCGGGGCTGCCCCCGGCGCTGGCCACGGGGCCACTCCTGGTGCTGTTCCCAGACTAAATAAAGTTCATTTTTTTAGCCATGCTGAGACAGCCACACAGCGCTGCCCTGGCCTCACTGATTTCCTTGGATGCATGGTTGCTCTCTGTGTCGGGATAGTCCTGCTGGCATGGCCTGGCAGCAACAGAAATCTCAGCTGAGCCTCGCCTCACCACGAGCCAAGCCAATTCAAGATGGGCTTGGGCCCAGCCGGTTACCTGTTCCCAGGCCTGTTCCCAGGCCAGTTTCCTGTTCCCAGGCTGTTTACCTGTTCCCAGGCCGTTTACCTGTTCCCAGGCCTGTTCTCAAGCTAGTTACCTGTTCCCAGGCCGTTTACCTGTTCCCAGGCCGTTTACCTGTTCCCAGGCTGGTTACCTGTTCCCAGGCTGGAAGCCAAGAGAACATTCCTGTGCTTTTTGTCTTTAAATGTGTTTTTCCACAGAGGCGTATTCAACGCTTTTAAGTGGTTTAACCATGTGTCAATCTTCAAACCTAGCCCGCTGATTAGCTCTGCCAGGTCCCCCCTGGGAACCATCCCCCCTCCCAGCTGAAAACCAGACTTTGTTAAACCATGGCAACTGATAAATTAAATTGTTACTCTGATTGTTAGGTACTGACAGGAGATGCAGGAGAAGATGCGGAGTGCCATGCAGCCAAACTCCTAGAAGTGATTGTCCTTCAGTGCAAAGGACGGGGTATTGACCAGGTGATGATACATATTGAACAGGTTTTCTCTTTTACTGCTTTCTAATGATCCATGACTCCTGAGAGAAACAGCTGGAATTAGGGAATTTGAGGGAAATGTAAGGTGGGGAGAAAGACAGAAAGAAGTAAATGAACTCAGGAAAGTTTGTAAGGTTGGGGTTTTTTGGTTTTGAGACAAGATATTAATGGGCATGACCACAAAATGAATATGGACTAAATTATAAGGATACAGTATGTTCTGCAAGATTGTCCTTTTTTGCTATCTCTTAGTAGATTTTCCCTTTTGATGCAAAACACACAGTTAAAACTATGGTGGCTGAGTGATTAACTGTATATATCCAACTGCTGTTGGATAGCAACTGCTGTTGTTTCTCCAACCTATAGGAACTTTTTAATGTTTTAAATTATTTAGTGCATTTGGAAATGCAGATTTTTTTAGCATGGCTGGACTGTGATTGCAGGGAGAAACATAATCACAATTTTCCAGAGTTTCTTAGAACACTTTTTTAGAAAGTAGTCTTTTTCCTGTTAAAGGCCAAATTCTGAACTCATGTAATGAGCCTAAATTACCTTGACGTATCATGTTTAATGTTGTCACAGTGCAATCCATGGACTTCAGTGATAAATTTTCATTTAATTTCAGTGAAACTGATATAACTGTACTAGTGTAAATCTGAAGTAATTGAGGATTAAAATGTTCTCTGAAAGATTTTATTTTTATAGGAAATCTGGAAGAGTTTAAGTGAGTTAAACTATGAAGAGTTAAAGTGTTAAAAGAGTTAAAGTGAATTCAATGCATATGCATTGAAATAAGTATGTGGTGGAAGGCTTAATTGAGCTGTACATCTCTGTGAATTAAAATGGTTGCAACTGAACTGAAACTCATAAACTAAAACTTTCATAATGCTTCCCAAATTTTTGTGAAGTATACATTTGTCCATTGAAATATGTATGTGTTTAGAAGATGTTTATTTCATTGTTTAGAAATCGGTGCATGTTTGCTTTTATATGAATAAACTAGTTTTAAACTTTTATAAAAAGTTTAACATCACTTTACATGTATTAGGAAAAACTTCTTGTGTTACAGATCTAGATAGTTTAATTTCTAATGCCTGTTAGTTTTGAAATTGTTTGGTGTCTTTAAAGATGAGAACGTCTGAGTTTTTTTCTTCCTAAATGCTAGAACAAACTCCACCAAATGGCCCCAGATATTCTCTCTCCTCTGTGCTCAGAATAACATTGCAATTTTTAGCTCAGAGAAGAGCTGTTTTGGGGAAGATTTATAAGCTTGTGATCAGAGGCTATAAAGTGAGGAGAATGTGTTCCTCGGTTCTATACCTGAACTTCAGATAACTCAGGACATTAATTCTAGTAAAAGTATTATAAAATTTTGTATAATCTGGCAACATGTCTAATGACTGTTTTCTTTTTTTTTTTTTCCTTTTCTATATTTTTCTTATTATATGGCCAGTGTATTCCCCTCTTTGTGGAGGCTGTTCTGGAGCGCTTGACTCGAGGAGTTAAAACAAGTGAGCTTCGTACCATGTGTCTTCAAGTTGCCATAGCTGCACTCTACTACAATCCTGACCTCCTTTTGCACACCTTGGAGAACATCAGATTTCCACACAATCCTGAGCCCATCACTGCACAGTTCATAAACCAGTGGATGAATGACACAGACTGTTTTTTTGGGCAAGTATTGAGGGTTGTTTTTTTTACAATATTTGAAATTGACCAGCTGATTTTCCCAACTTGTTAACTCTCTATCCGAAACACTGTGTACGTACTTTCTGTTCTGTATTCTGTAAGTTATTTTTAACTGCTCCATTTAATTTAAAAAAAAAACACATTACTCTTTCCAGTGAACCTACCTCTAATTTTAAATGAATTTTCACAATCAACTTGCATATTTATCATTGTGCTATTGACTGCTTAGTCTACTCCTGAACTTAAACATCACTGTAACCTCCCTTGAATGTGTGTGTGCTGTGCTGGTGTGCACTCAGGCAGGAGCTGAGCATTTGTGAAGTTAATGAAGGGGAACAAAGTCTGTCATCACCTAGCAAAGCATGCACTTGATGCTGAGCAGAGGTGAAGGCCAGTGCTTGCCTCTCAGCTGAGATGTGGTGTCTTAACTGTGAGATTCAAATCCACTTAAAGGCAAAGCAGACAGATGTAGTTAGCAGCTACCTCTCACCTTCCTGCTTGAGTTTTGTTTTGTTACTGACATCTGCCCCCAGGTACATGGATAGGCTTAGGTCATGTCTGCCTTAGGTTACTTCTTCCACACCTTGTGGTAATATTATTGTTAACTACTAAATTATTTTTGTATCTACCAGCTTTAGAAAAGGGCAAGATATTTTAGGATTTCTGCGTAGCAATTTTCTTCTATGGCTGAAGCGAAGTTCTTGAGCTTCATCTCTTTGTGCTTTTGTTTTTTTCTACCACATATCACATGCTGAGTGCATACAGAGATGATAGGAAAGAAGATATTCCCTACGGATGGTAAAGTGAAAGAGATTTATAGCCTGAAACAGTTCATCCTGGAGCATTCAGTGAGAAACTAGTCAGATTCAGAGAGGAAAAATGTTGAAGGTCTGACTAGGCTCCAATCTAAAATAGTACTGTGAGCTACAGCATAATTTTCAATTCTTCTGTGTTGCTCTTCAAAAAGCATCAGCTACTGAAATACTGTTCAAATAAACTTATATTTGGAGTTGAGACAAAGGTTAACAAAGCCTGTGAAAATGAAAAGTTAAACATGCGGTTGTCAGACCAGTCATTCTGCCCAGACTGCTCTTGAATGGCAGCAGAGGACTAAGAATCTCTCTCTTTGATCTGCTGCTGCCAGCAGAGAAATAATTATCTGTAATATTGCTTAAATCTAAAAGTCACTCTTCCTTCTGTGCTGTCTCCGCACTTTGTGGCTCCAGGTGTAGGGTAGGGCTTTTGCTGTAATACTGCTGGTGAGGCACTGTGATATGCTGTAAGGGGCTTCTTCTCTTTTCCTCAGGAGAGCACTGCTGCTAGCAGACCATTTGTTTTCTTAGGAGTATTAAAGGAGCACCAGATTCAGAGGCCTAACTGAACAGGAGTTCAGGAAAAGACAGAAGTGCAATAAAAATTTGGTGTTCTTGAAACCCTTTCTTGAGTCCTCCCCTAAGTAGTTCATGTCTTTGTCAGAGAGCAGTGGGCACCCTTATTTGTATAGTCATCTTTCTAATCAGCTGCCATTTGCTGCTTTGGTTTACACTTAGCTTACTTTCCATTAAGAGGCAGTTTTAGGTCCAGATTCAAGTCATTTGGCAAACTCACAGATCCTAGAGAAACTGGACCAAAGATCGAAGTAGATGCACCTCCAGATGTCATGGTGCAGGACCAGGTGAATCTTGCTGTCATTTCTTTGCCAACCATGCAGTAAACCTGGAATATGGTGGTGACAGTAGCTGTTCAAGATGCTTTGTCCACATAAATCTCACACTCTTATGTGTGGACACTCCATCTTCGGAAGTGTTCAGGGTCAGGCTGGATGGGGTTTTGAGCAACCTGATCTAGTGGAAGGTGTCCCTTCCCATGGCAAAGGGATTGGAACTAGATGACTTTTAGGGTCCCTTCCAACCCAAACCATTCCATGATTCTGTGTCTTTCTTCTGTTCCTGTGAAGTCTTAGTTCCCATAGATCCTGCTCTGCCAGCATTAGGGTTTTCATGGCTGCACATGCTCAGGCTGGAGCCAATGGTGTTTGCCAAAAGAATGCAGTATTTTGGAGCACCACATGTGAACATATGAGATGGAATCCATGGGAAGAATGGAGGGGAAAAGCAGTTACGGTATGATAAATAGCTGTTCTTCCATGTTATTAAAACGACTGAAACTATTGAAAAAGTATTACAAAGTTGGCATATTAAAAATTAGCCAGGCAAGGAGAAGTCAGAACTCCTTGTAAGACTGCATAAATTCAGTATGTCATAGTGGATATTGCATATCTGTGGTTGTGTGCTGACAGTGCCTACATGCCACAGGATATTGTGTTTATTTCTAAATGTTTTCTACAATAACTTCACATTGGAAAGCCTTTTTCAGAAACATTTGCTTCTTACCACTTTCTACCTTTTTCCTGACAGCTGAGGTTTGGTTGAAATTTCTGCATGACTTATGCTTATTGTTATACTAAAAATTCTTCTATGGTAACTAGGGTGAAAGGAAAATCTCACTTGCTTCAAAAAAACCCTCAGTAAATGATTTGGGTTTTTTTGAAGCTAAATAGAGTTATGTATTTGATAGGAGTTTGAATAGTTATAAATGCTAGGATTCTCAGAGTTGCACATTAAAGTCCTGGTTTTATGTTGGTTCCAAATTTGCAACTAGAAGGAAGTGGCTAATTATTTACAGTTTGTCCAGGAACTGGATTGATGTAGTAGAAAGAAACTTGATTATCACATAAAGGAGCACAGCAAACCAGTAAAAGGAAAGGCTTAGCGATTTTTCTCTGAAATACTTTCAGCTTGGTTTAAAATACAAAAGATTTAAAAATTCTTTGTGCTGTATTAGAAGAAAGTGTGTTAGCAAGAAGAGGTCCTGCAGATTATGAGGACCACACACAGCTTGTTAAAAATAGACTTGGCTTGGAGTTGTGTGTTGCAGTGCTGTGTGTTATGTGTTTAACACTCCAGGCTTGATAAACCATTGAGGAATAAGCAGAGTCCTTGATTGTTAGGGAGGGCTATTGTGTGCTTCTGAGCAAATAAGTACAGATCTCAAAGCACAAATTACTAAGGAGAATCATATCCAGGCTCCCTTGAGCAGATGGAAGGGTGCTGAAATAATGAGCCTTTTGATAGCAACAGAGTGGTCCTGAAGCCATTCTTTGCTATTATGAAAATACATA